AAGGAGATCGAGAGACTCAAAGATCAGCTATCAAGGAGATTTGATATGAAGGATCTAGGAGAAGCGAGACAGATACTGGGCATGAAAATCACGAGGGACAGAAATGCTGGTAAACTTTGGCTTTCTCAATCTGATTATATTGAGAAGGTGTTGTGCAGATTCAAAATGGATATTGCAAAGCCGGTTGGAGTGCCACTGGGAAGCCAGTTCAGGTTGTCCAATAAGGATTCGCCCAAGGATGACTCTGAAAAGGAAAGGATGAGAATTACGCCTTATGCTTCGGCTATATGGAGCCTGATGTACGCTATGGTCTGCACCCGGCCAGACATAGCACATGCAGTGGGAGTAGTCAGCCGGTTCATGAGCAATCCTGGAGTGATGCACTGGGAGGCGGTAAAGTGGATCCTTAGGTACCTGAAGGGTACTAAGGACCGGGCATTGGTATTTGGCAGGAGTACCCTTACCCTGTCTGGGTTTGTCGATGCTGATTTTGCAGGAAGTGATCTTGACAAGAGAAGAAGTACTACGGGGTACGTGTTCACTTACGGCGGGACGGCCGTATCCTGGACTCAAAGCTGCAGAAGATAGTCACATTGTCCACAACGGAAGCTGAGTACGTGGCAGTGACGGAGGCAGCCAAAGAGCTTGTTTGGTTGCAAAACTTCCTGAATGAACTTGGGAGACCTCAGGAAGATGTGGCTTTATACAGTGATAGCCATAGTGCAATCCATCTGGCAAAGAACCCCGCGTTTCACTCTCGAACGAAGCACATCAAGGTTAAGTATCATTTCATCCGACAACTTCTAGAGAAGAAGGTGTTGCAGCTGAAAAAGGTTCGGGGAGATAGGAATCCTGCAGACATGTTGACCAAGGCAGTAACTTTGGAAAAGTTGAAGCTGTGTGTAGCTTCGACCGGCCTTGATGATTAAAACAGACAGACCCGGCGAAACCAAGAGCAGAGATGAATATGTTGATCAATCCTCAAGTGGGAGATTATTGAGTCAAATTGGGCAGCAACCCATTTATTTGGATAGCACACCATTGGAGAAAAATATTAGCATACCATGGTGGAAAATTTGATGCCTTCTTTAATTATAAATAGATAGCAATTTTGATGAAACAAACACAACAATAAAAGAAAACATAACAAGAGAGATAGAGAGAGAAAAAAAAAGTAGAGAGAGTGTATTCATACAGGCTTGTGTGAGTTGTAACATTCAGTTTATCCTCTTCTTCTAGTTCATTCTCCTGGCTTGGTTCGCCCCCAGATGTAGGATTTAATTCGAACTGGATTAACAAATCTTCGTGTCTTTTATCGATTTCACATTGGTGTGGTAATTCCATCTTATCCGACCTTATTTCCCAACAAAAATTGTACACCCGTGCATCGGACGGGCTCTGTACTAGTAAACTAAACGTAAACAAACAGAAATCGCTACTCGAAATCGTGTCTCGATTAAATATGTGTTGCAAGGCACAGCTCGCGCACTGACGTGGCGACACTTGGCAGCCTCTCAATCAGCCCCTTTGCGCCCTTTTTCGCTTTTTCGTATTGCGCTTTCCTATATAGGAGGTTTTCCCCTCTCAACACTTGTTTGTGTACTCTCGCACTCGTCAGTTTCCCTTTCTCCAATTTTTCTCAGTTTTTAATTTTCCGATTGTACAATAATAAATCGAGTTTTGAGAATGGAACGAGTGGGGTTTGGCCCTGCGGCGAGGGGCGGCGTGGCGGTGGCCTGCGAGATGGAGGCAGCGGAGGCTCTGGCGGGGTTGTCCTGGTGCCCCGCCTCCGGCGACGGCGCTGCGGCCGAAGTGAAGGGCCGGCGCGAGATGGGCTCTCAGGTTCTTGATTTTTTCTTCGATAATTTTTTCTTTGGTAGAGGCAAGAGCAAGTTTGTGTCTTCTACGCTAGTAACGCGACTCTGTGTGTGTGTGTGTGTGTTTGTGTGGATTTATATGTCTTCTACGCGAGTAACAAACACTGTTCTTGGAGTAGTAATTTCCTGCACCACTCATTGCTTTAATTCCTCAATTTCCTCTCTCTCTCTCTCTCTCTCTCTCTCTGTGTGTGTGTGTGTGTGTGTGGGCTCAAATGGGGTTGTAATTTGTAAAACTCTAAATTAACAAGATTGGATGTAAATTTAATAATGATCACAATTGAATAGTACACCTAAAATTCAAGGGCATGATATCATCAGTGCTAAAATAGCAGAAAATTTATGCGGTAAGTGAAGCACTGTATCAGTTGTATGATTTATGAGAAGGAAATGAGTTTTCCACAACATTCACGTGAAACAAGTTGTCTATGTGTCTTTCTTCAGATAGATTAGATCTATGTGAACTTCTGTTTTTTATGTTGACGGGAAGATGGATAACGAACTGTAGTAAAATAAAGTCGTTTTGATCATGTCGAACACGATAGTATTATGAGTTTTGATTTAGAACACTGAGTTTCATCATATAACAATATGAGTTGCAATATATGATGGCATACTTCTACTGTTCTACATACATATTGTTCACTACGAAAAAAAATATGGTCCGTGGTAAAATTTCTGGTTTTGCCAATAAGACGACAAAACTTCATGCGAATGTGTAGTTGATTTTATTCGTATTTTCTGAAAAAGAGAAGTCTTGTTAATAGTTGAACAATGAATGAAGAGCATCAGCCTTCTACTTGCTTCTTGAGTCTTTCCAAATGGAATCTTTGAACATCTAACCAAGTATAAGATACTTGAAATTATTTGGGTCTTTGAGAACAAGTTGGTCTTTTCTTTCGTATCGGTATTAATATTTGAAACATAATTACTTTGTACTTTGAGATCTTGGCCTCTTTGAGCTGGATGAATTTTCAAGTACTTGAACTATTTTCTGCACAACATTAAGCAAACCATTTAATTTACAATGTAGTTTTTGGGCCTATAGATGAGAATTCTTGTATGCATAATTGTTCGATCCTGCATATGATGTCAGGGTGTGCTAGATTGCCATGTTATTGCATATTTGGGAGACTTTGCAGAAACTGAATTATTTTTTTTGGTAGGATAAGCTAATGGCCGCGGGGCAGTTCGATTGTCACGCTTCTTCTAGGGCTACAAGCCGTGAAGAGAATGAGATGATAGCAAACAATATTTCCAGAGTCCATCAACCAAATCCCGTGGGAAGGCCGAAGTTGACAGAGGTATATAAAATTGCTTCTTTCTCGGTTATCACGTATATTGCTTTTTTTATCTTGTTTCTTATTTTGAAATAAAAATGAAAATAAATAATTGATAACTCCATTTAGGCTGAGAGGCAAGCAAAACAGCTTCGTCGCGTATTGGCGAATAGAGAGGCTGCCAGGAAAACGATTAAACGAAGACAGGTTTGATTCACTTTTATCATATTCTTTTAGTTAAGCTGATCAGTACAGACATATTTGTTTGGTTGCTTTTGACCAGGCTAATTTTGTGGAGTTAACCAGAAAAGCTGCTGACATGTCTGAAGAGAATGAGAATCTGAAGAAGGTATTTTTCGGCATATCATTCTTCTTCCCTCTCTCTTCTTCTTTCTTCCTTCACTTTTACTTTTTCCATTTCGTGTTAGCCCATTAAGTTTCTTCATGTTTTATGTACAAGAAACTTCTAAAGCTGTCATTTTTGTGACAAAAAAAAAAAAAAAAGGAAAAAGATCGGGCGATGGAGGAGTACAATTCTTTGAAGCATAGAAACGAATTCCTCAAGGCTCAGGTGAAACACTTGTCGACATAATTTTCTTCTCGCTAGGAAAATATCTTTTCCCTTTCGGCAGAGCCCATAATCTTTTGCCAATGCAGTTGGAGAAAACCAAGAAGTTTGAACCAGTTCCCCAAGACCCGAAAATTTGTTGGCCCAATCAGAAGCCTTCAATGGTTCCTTGCTTTTGGCCTCCCATTTTCCCTCCTGCCCATTTCTCTCCCGATGCGGGTCCACCGAAATTCCCTCTCTTTTTGTACCCGGTCCCATGTTTGCTCCCGTTTTTTGCTCCACCTTACCCAAACTACCCCACTGAAGAAGGCAAGGAGAACAGTAATAAATGCAGCAAGTGTTCGTTTTCCAAGTCCTTGCCGAACGAAAATAATAATAACAGCCATTTGTCGACTAACCTGAAGACGAGGGAAATGGAGGCAGCCTCGAATTCCAAAAGAAGCACCACATTTGCAGACGATGTTCGTGGGCCCGGGCCCGGGCCCAATTCCCCTCCCGACACCAGTGGTGATGATGATAACACGGTTCAGAATCATGGGCCCACGGGCAACGATGTGAATCAAGAATCGACGGTTGAGATCGAAGTGCATAAAGAGGCGGAGAATATTTGTGGTGCGACAGCTGAGGCCAGGAGGAAGAGGAAGGTGTTGATGAGGATGAGAAAACGGGCCCTCTCGTTATCAGGTTAATAACGCACGGTAAGAATGTGTCAGAGCTTTTTTAACTTTTTATGTGTGAAATTTGAAGTGGAATTCGGGAGCGATAATATATGTTTTGGGGTTCGATAAGCTTTGGTCTGTGTCGAGCCAAGCCGAGTGCTTGTACACTCTTTCTTAGTTCTGGAAAAAAGTTATCTGCTTTGCTTGTGAAGGGAGCAGGATAGAAAGTTTTACTTGTTTGTATGTTGCAATCTTGATGTGAGCTTTTTTCTCTACTACTTTTTCTTGTGAATTTGCTCAACTTCTCTCAGACAAACACTGAAGGAAAAAATAAAATAAAATTGAATTACAATCTAAACTTAAATAAAATAAAATTGAATTACAATCTAAACTAAAAAATATTGGTATCAAAATCATTTAATCTGTAAGATGAAGTTGAGCAGAGTCTATACTCCATAGAATTACCCAAAAAAAAAAAAAGAAAAAAAATGAAAGCTGAACTCAAAAGAAGAACAACATCAAGATTTAAAACACAAAGAACATACATAGATACCCAAAAAAAAAAATAAAAGCACATACACAGCTAACTAATACAAGATTAAATATCTGTCATTAATTATTTTTCAAATAACTGCTCGAGCTCCGACTTTAACGAAGTGTAGACAGCACGCCACCCGGCTTCGGTCGGGTGAGACGAGTCCCAGAAAAACGACGATTTCGGGTCGCTGCAAACAGTGTACATTTTGGTACGGTTCTCATCTACACTGCCACATGAGTATGTATTGTTGATGCCCATGCAACAGGGCTTCAATGGTGTCTCGAATTTTAAGTCCCCTGTTTCAAATTAATTTATATTATTACAATTTTTTTTTTTCTTGAATGCCATATTAATATTTATTAAAACACAATCAGCAATACTGATTAGAAAAATATTTAAAAAAAAAAAAAATACCTTGATAATCTCCTTTCTGCCGGAGCACAGTTGTGAAGGAGCTGTAGATGTCGATGATGAAAAAGGTTTGGCTTTTGGTCTCGTTGTTTAACTGGGCCACGGCCCGCTGCAAAAGAGAGTTGTGGTAGCCCACTAACAAGTTCTGGGTGGCGTTGCACTGCTGAAACGACGACGTCTCCGTCGTGCGGGGAAGGCAGCCCAATGGCTGCAGGGCCGTCACCGCAATTTTGGTTGGCCCAAGCCCATGAATCTGCTTCAGGTTGATGGCCAGTTGATTGATCACAAGTGGGATGTAATTTTGCAGGCCCTGAAAATAAATATATTTATATATTGATAATTTTATTAACATTGAATATATTTATTTATTTATTATTCTTTTCTAATTATCATAGACTTGTTTATTTCAAAACTAGTAACAAATACTCATCTTTTTTTAGTATCATGATTTGAGTTTTTTTT